AAGTGTTTATTTTTTGCTTCAATAATCTCCTTTAGAGTATAGTCGCAAAACTCTGTCTGAATGTATAGCCTCTGGCCCTCAATCCATGCGCTCCGGAACTCAACCACAAAATCACTCTTCATTTGTAGCAAATACTGGCTTTCATTTTCGACTGATTCATTGATTTTAGCGTCAATCTCTAGTGAAATTTAAAAGTATTTTATGCTTATTTATTTTTAACCACAATTCAGCTTTGAATAATTTAATTTAAAGAATCGTTCGGCCTCCTCCCCCTGCCGCCCTTTTTAACACCTTAAGTTTATAACATAGTATTAACATGGGAAAGCTTTTATATGATTAACATTGGGACTCTAAACATGTATTCCTATGGAATTTCAGCTTAAGTCAATGAAATAAGTTTAACGTGGCTAATGCTAAGTCTATGGTAATGTTAATTCTATGGGTAATGCTAACTCTATGGCAATGCTAATTATATGGGTAATGCTAAGTCCATGGCAACGCTAATTTTATAGGTAATGCTGAGTCTAGTGCAATGCTAATTGTATGGGTAATTCTAGTGTGACCATCTTTAGATTTAAGAATAGAGAACATTTTACCAAATTTATTTTAAAATAGAGAACACATATTTAATGTTAATTTTTCTTATAAATTTAAATATTAAGATTATTTAATAACCAGGGCATTGTTAAATGCATACTTGCATATATTTAGCGGTACATTGTATTAATCCGAGTGTCCGGATGTCCACCGATCATGTACTGGGGGTTACTTTAGCCGAGTTTTATTTTGAATATAAATGCATATTTCATGGGTTATCGCATATTTCAACTATTTCAATATAATAGCATTTTAAGGGCATATTTCGAAATATTTACTAAAAATGAATGCGTTTTTGTATCTATAAACAAAATATTTTGATATTTAATTATCTACAAGCTAATTAAACACATACCAAAATCATAAATCTGAATTAAGTCACATAAAGTGATTTATCAATATATTAAACACATTAATTGGCCTAAATTAAATGAAAAACTACAAAAATAACATTTGCCTAAATGTGTGTTTTTTGAAACAATTATTAAAATTGAACATATTTCAACTAAATATAGACAAAAGATGATCAAACTATAGTTAGATATTTAAAAGTTTACTAAAGAACCTCTATAATAGATGTATTAATTGTAAAATTGTGATATTTATTGATAGTTTATGAAAAATAAATGCATATTTTAGTGCATATTTTGCCCTCTTTTCTTGCATATTATATGACATATTTAAGGAATTTATTTAGCAATGTTCTGTTAATAACCATGTTATAGTAAACATAATTGTATTAAATGTCTAATACTACATTACTTAGTCATTAAGTGTCTAACAATAAAAATTGTTAATCATAAAAGTGTAAAAATTTTCAATCTTTCAATTATTATATAGATAAATCATAACTATATGAAATATATTGCTTTTTTGATGTGTTTGCATATGATTTCAGTGCATATATGCCTTTCAACCCTATCATCGGTCAATGGTTAGCACTCATTTGAGTTGACATTTGACTCATCAATAGACAGACAATAGACAGGAAATGAAATTACAGACTATTGAAACATTTGTTTTAAACTTTGTATTTTTATCAAATAATTTATTAACGGGGGGAGCGGGGGTTCATCTCGTTAATTTTAAAAAGATTTAGTAAAATTCTTATAATTTATTATAAAATTTAAAAAAAAACAGTTCTCTATTTTGTTCGAATACAGGTCCAAATAAAGAACTGTCCTCTGAAATAGAGCAATGGTGGTCACACTAATGCTAATCTTATGGACTTTTATTAAATGTGTAGATAATGTTAATATATTCTTTACGCAATACCCGAATTGTGGTAAATGTATAACATGGCTATGTGATCATTGTATAAATAGTAAATAATATATTATATTTAATTATTATTAATAATGTTAGCAAACTTACTATGGTGAAATATTTTGATGGCGTGTGTGTCTTTGTTTAGTTTATGACGAACTTTAACCACTTGGCCATAACTGCCAGATGCCATATCTTGTAGCCATTCAAATTCATTACAATATTTGCCCTCGATCGTCTTAATATCACACATTCTGGAGTGTGATTTCGCACGTTATTTGAAATTCACTCAAATTATACAAAAATAAAATTAAATTAATGTAACTACAAATTTATTTTTATTATTAAAGCTCATAATATTATATATTTAATATTATTTAATAATATAAAACAAAATCTATTGTTAAGTTATGTGATAAGATTGCTGTAAACATGGTTACTTAGCTTATGATACACAGGAATACACGTTGATAATAATGTTTTATGATTACACGTTGATTTATTATATTATTAAGATTTTTGAAATGTCAAATATTTAATTGTTACACGTTTCTATACTTTTTTATTGACTAATACAAAAATACTTATACCGTATATTGTACAGTAATATAACTTTACTTATTTGATATATTAATTGTATTCATAAAATACAATATTTTATTTTCAAAATTTTCCTGATAAAAGTGGTCGTCTGGTCATATGAAGTATCACACGACTTCATTGATTTAACATTAACCATAGAAAATGTGGTGGAATAAGTCTAATTAAATTTGTTGATTAAAACATTACAGTAATTTTTGTAATTACGTAAACATTAATTTTATTAATTTAAATAAATAAGCAAATATATTTAATTTAAATTGATAAAATCCATTGTAAACTTAAAAATTATAATGATTAATTAACTATAGTACTGTCTATCTGTCAACTAATACTGAAAAGAGCATATAAAATAAACTCACTGTTTAATAAATGGTAGCAGAACTAGTTTATAAACTTCATGTATAAGTGTTGACCCTTACAGTTGTAGGGGTGGGTCGACGTCATAGACGACACCGATTTGTTTGCGGATCGCGTCCTGAATGCGGCTAATAGTAAGCGACGCCTCGCGTGACATAACACTGCTCTCCAATTGACCCGCTTTGAGGCACTTTCGCACTTCATTCGCCTCATAGCACAGGCCTGTACTGCCGTACACTGTGGGCACTATTGGGTCCGGGAATGCGAACTCATGTACCGCATCGTTCACATACACCTTCTGACACGCGTGAAAGTTGGCGCCCAACTAAATCACCAAGAACAAAAAATAATAACAGGTAACTTATCACAGACAACTTAATAATGTATAATCATATTAAAACCATATAAATTACCTTGATGATACCCTTAGTGCCAACAATAGTGGCCTCATTCTCGAGGGTAAGCATAGAGTGGCAGGAAATGGATGCCGTCTTCTGGTTCTTGTACTGAAGAGCGGCCGCGAAGTCAAAGTCGACACCGTTTTTGTTGAGATGTCCGATCGCCTCAACCTTTTCGGGCACTTCTCCGCCGAACACCTGCTCCACAATATTGATGGCATAGACGCCGACGTCGAGTACAGTCCCGCCGCCCAACTCTTTGGTCGCCACACGTATGACATCGGCGTTGGGAAAGCCGAGGTTTGCCGTCACGTGTAGGACATCACCGATTGTGCCCTTTGCTAGCTCTTGGAA